TATATAAAGTTTAATATAAACAATAATCTTATAAGTATTTTCCTTTTTCTTTTCATAAACCATATAGTCCAGTTTACATTGGCCAGCTGCTCTTGGTATGGGACCTATTTTTATTATTTATTTAGTTGCTTATTTATTTATTTATTGTTTTCAACACATCCCAACCACAGTTTCCTCTTCCTCCATTCCTCCTCCCAGTGGCCCCCCCTCCAACCCATCCACTCCTCCTCTGTTTCCCTTTAGAAGAGAGCTGGCCTCCCAGATACATCCACAAACATGGCATAAAGAGATTCAAGGAGACGAGGCACAAGCCCTCATATCAACAGTGTTGCTGGGAGAGGCAACACTGAAGTAAGAAGAGGATCCTAAGAGTCGACTAAAGAGTCAGAGATAATCCCCATATTCACTGTTAGGAGTCCCACCAAAACAAAAAGCTAACAAACATAACTTGTATGCTGAGGATGTGTTGTAGATCCATGCAGGCTCGGTGGTTGCTGCTTCAGTCTCTGGGAACTCCTATGAGCTCTACTCAGTTAATGTCTTTGTGCTGTGTTACCATGGTGTCCTAAAACCTCTCTTGCTCCTATAATTCTTCCTCCCCATCTTCCTCAAAATTTCCTAAGCTACAAGGAGAGGGACCAAATGGAGAGTTTCAATTTGGGCTTTTTCTCCATCCAGTATTTGACTGTGGGTCTCTGCATCTCTTCCCATCAGCTGTTGGCTGAAGCCTCTCTGATGATGATTGAACTAGGCATCAGTATATGGCACAGCAGAATATTGTTAGGAATCATTTCAATGACTTTGTTTTCCTACCATAGGTCTCTGGGCTAGATGAAACACCTGTGATTACATCACTAAAGAAAACTGACGCTTTTCCAGAATCTATCATAAGCCAAACATCTTCAACTAAGAGTGGGATTACATGTCCACTTCCTCCCACCCCAGTGTTTACATGAATTTGATAGGAGACGTGTAAAGAGATGGATGGTGTCTTAAGAGAAAAGTTTTTCCTGTTACGTACAGAATTCACAAAAGGTGAAATATAGGAAATTATTAGATGAGATTGAGAGCTCAGTTCAGATATGAACACTTGAAGGCAAGCTCCATATGGCCAACAATTTTTTTATGTTTTGTATTTGTGTTCATGTGTAGAATAATCTGTTACATGTTATTTGTTCCTTACATAATTTTAATGGTTGAGTTGAATTAAGAAAATATATGTTTAAAGGTAGATGTGCTTTCTTTTTAATGAAATTTAGCATACTTTTATGTTTTCCAGTTTTTTTATTGACACTTATTTGTGCCAAAGTCTTTATCATGGCATTTTCATACATGCTAAATGTATGATCCTATATACCTTAATTTTCATATTTTCCCCCTTTCTGATGTTTCTTTTCTCCCTTTACCTCCCAAAGCATTTTCTTTTTAAATCTAAAGAGAAATCATGCTGTTTTCCTGGGATTATCTTATATATCCAAATTGTTTGTTTTCTTGTTTTATTCATTTATTCTATTGTTTATACTTACCAAATCCCATTTATCTACTAATTCATTGATAGGCATTCGGGTCACTCTGATTCTTTTGGCTATTGTGAACTACTGGATATGAAACTATCCTATCCTTGTTTTTTTCTGACTGCATTCAAGTATTTTCCTAAGAGTGCTTCAGGATGATTTAGTGTCTGAAGTTTTGAGGACATTTTGAGGACAATTCCAGAAGGGACTAACTAATTTACATTCTTCCAACAATATTAAAGGTTCCTTCTTTTAATATTTTAATCAATGTTTTTTAAAATGTTACATTTTAAAATGTCTTTTGATCATACTGTTCCCAACTACCTCTGTTCAAATTTGCATGGTGATCTGCCCATCACCTTCTCCTTTTATGCCCATTATTATTATTATTATTATTATTATTATTATCATCATCATCATCATCAATAATTTCCTGAGTCCAGTTAGTGATCTGTTTATGCATACTATGCACTGGGCAGACTACCATGGACACCTTCCATTTGCTGCATCTCTACCAACTTTTGTTTTTTGTTTTCTTAATGATAGCCATTCTGACTATGGGTGGAAATTAATGCTAGTTTTGATTTTAATTATCTAATGAATAATGATATTGCATATTTTATTTTATTTGTTTACACAAGTACTGTCCATGTCATTTGCACATTGATTAGGTTATTATTTCAATGTTGATTTTTCTGAGTTCACTATATTTTCTGGATACTAATTCTCCATTAAGATGAATTGCTTGCAAAGCTTTGTCTCATTTTCCCAATTTTCTAAATGTTTCTTTTCTGTGTAGATCTAATTTTGTGCACCCCCCCCCACAATTGCAGTTGTGTCTTTAACTGTTGGAGCCCTTCGTTTAAGCCTGTATTTGAAGCATTTTCTCTATGCATTCCTCTAGCAATTTCATTTTGTTCCATTTTGATTTTATTTCTGTTGTTTGGGATGAGAGGGAGGATCTAATTTCATATTTCTAACTGTGAATGTCTGGTTTCCTGAGCCCTATTTGTTGAGTAGACTATCCTTAAAATATTCTTAACCTAGTATGTTTTTGCTGTATGGTTTTAATTTTTCTAAGTTTTCTTATAATTAAACATGACAAGGTTGACAAGGTTCACTGGCTCCTAATGTAGACAAAGAGCTACAGACAACTCAGGAATACTGAGAGCTGGAGAAATAAGCTCTACCAGGATGATACAACACCAACTAGCCAGCCCTAAAGTCATTTCCATGCAAATTCTACAGACTGAGGAGGTTGGATAAACACATTTAGGAGTATGTGTGTATGTTGTGCCTCTGTGTGTGTGTATCACAGCAATCAAACAAAATGAGTTTATGAACTTGAGTGAGAGAAAGGGGGTATATGGGAGGTGTTGGAGGGAGGAAAGGAAAGCAAGTACATGAGGTAATTGTATTTTATCTTCAAAAATACATTAACATCAGAAAAACATATTGAAGGCTGGTATATTGGCAAACAGATGTATTTCTTGCAGTTATTAAGGCCAAGGCAGGTGTCAAATGGGTACCGGCAAAATGTATCTTATATACATGTACACACACACACACACACACACACACACAAATAAAAATAAATCTTAAAAGAATCTCAGAACTAGATATATATGTGACTGTAATTATGATGCCTGACTGGGCACAAGTTGGGTTTCCAGGCTTCTTAAGTCACTAGAACTGTAATTGACATTATGAGAAACAACTGGAAGTATTTTTCTGTTAATGAAACCATCTTAAAAACACTTCCATCAGCCTTGGGAGCTGCCTCAACAGGTAATGTGCCTGTTGTTTCCTTGAGGATTTGAGACCTGGGCCTAAGCGGCCATGTGGAAAAGCCATGTGTAGCCTCACACATCTGTAACCCCAATCCTTGGGGATAGATAAGAGGATTTTCTCGGAGGCAGGCCTAAATGGTAAGCTACAGGTTCAGTGACAGAGCCTGTCTCAGAGCACAGCTGGGGAATGACAAGGATGACAGCTACTGTGCCCAGCCTGGTGGCCTCTATGTGTGTATTGGGGCACCTGCACCAGCACAGAATAAATGAATGAGTTGCCCAAGTTACATCTCTAACGTTGTTTGATTTATAGATGATAGCTGAAAATTTAGCTCTTAATTTGAAAGTAACTCCATAACTGGTAAATGCTATAGTGACTCCAAGAAAGGCATGCATTAGTCTTTACGCAAGACTGCGTCTGCCCAGACCTGGTGTGCTCGTTACTCAGGTTTTTACTTACATTGTCATATTATTGAGATCTTGTAAGGGCAGCATTTTGTCTGGAAGGCCTCTCATAGCTGATGTCCTAGTACCTGTTCTCTCTCAGTGTTTCCACTTTTAGATCTTGCTGTTTCCTGAACCTGGGAGGAGGGGTTATATTGTAGATGTACCAGTTGGGGCTGAGGACCCCAAAGTCACACATTCGCTACAGTTTTACTAGTTGGGGATCTTTGTTGTAGCCTCCATCTATTGCAAAACCAAGCTTCTTGAATGGGGGCTGAGAACTAAACTTACCTATGAGAATAAGGAAAGACTTTAGCATACAGTTAGATTCTATATTGATTTAGGGAAGCAGCAGTAGTTGGTCCTACACGAGGGTCAGTGTCTTCTCTACCCTCTGATAGTTGACTTGGTTTACAGTACCAGGCATCCCCTCCATCCTATTGAGTACACCGTAGATGACTGATGGTTATTCCCAAGATAAAAATAGAATTCTTGAACCTTTGGGGATATCTTGGCAGGCCAATTATTGTTTTGCTTTGTAGACTTTTTAGTTGTATAGAACTGTTGTGTACATTTGTCTGTTGTCAGAAATGCATAGCATTTTCTGATACTGTGAGCACTAATCTTCAGAGGGAAAGCTTCCGGGTCCATTCTGGTTCAATTCCTCCAGGTCTGTATGGGAAGTGTATGTTATCTTCAGAAATATCGACTTCGTCTGAAGTTGTAGGGGTGTAGCCAAGGACAATGGAAGTATTTCATGTGTTTGGTGTCTCTCTAAGTCCATTGCCTGGCTTTGGAGTAATTGTTTAGTAATCCATGGTTCCTGCAGAGAGTGTTATTACCCATGTGGCATGAATCCATTAAGTAGGTGCGTGTGTGCACGCGCGCACGTGCACACACACATACACACAGTTCGTAGCTCTGGATACATAGATTTGCATATGTAGCTGGCATAACTACAGAGGTTGGGAAAGTACAGAGATATAATGGTTGGAGAGGAAGAGAAAGAACTTGTTGAAGGACACAAGTGCTTTAAAAAACCAAAGAGGAAAATACAGGTGTCCTTATCTAATGAAGGGGAGGGAGGAAAGAGAGAAAAATATCACTAAAGGTATTTTAAAAAGCCATGGGTAAACATTTTAATTTTATTATTTTTCAAAAATCTATTATATTTGATAAAGTAGTAACAGCTAAGTATGTATTTTCTAATAGAAACTTGTTATTTCATTACTTTTATTAATGTTTCCCATAGTTTCTGAATCGGAGATTTCCCAAGAAGCTGATGACATGGCTATGGAGAAAGAAAAATATGCTGATGAATTGAGAAAAGCGTTGGTTTCAGGATCAGGATCTGACACATACAGGTTCATCTTTTCTAGAGAGTCATGCCATTTCTCCCTTGAGAAAGAACTGAAAGATGTCTCAGTAAGTAAAGCTTCCAACATATTTGATTTTATTGATGGATTTTGTTTCACATTTAAGTAGCAGGTCTTTTATTCTTGGAGCACTTCCAAATATCAAGAAATTAGTTGGTACCCTCATTAGTTTGCCTTAAGTTTTAAAAAAGAAATCATATATGTAAAATGTGATTCTATGAGTGTTTTCTGTATGTATGGATGTGTCTGTGCATATGCATGCATGCATGTGTGTGTGTGTGTGTGTGTGTGTGTGCGCGCGCACGTGCGTGGGCTGAATCACATATGTGATGGTCAAGAGGACATCTTCCGGGAGTCAGTTCTCTCCTTCCACAAGGCCTTCAGGGGTGGAACTGGATCATTTATCCTTGTTAGCAAGCACTTTTCTGCTTGGAACCATCTCACTAGCTCACGATTCTTCAGATCTTAAGATTATGACATATTTTACTACATCGTAAAAAGTACTCTTCAGTATTTAAAACATTTTAAGCAATACAGTTAGTAACATGAATGAACAATTTGAAAAAGTGAGATAAATAGTTTTATACTACTGCATCCTGATTTACTCAAAAGTAAATATGGGAAAATTCAGAATTTTAGAAAGAAATCAATACTTTTACCTTTGGCTATTTAGTAACTGATTTGTTTCTTTTCTTAGAGTATATTTGAAATTTTATTTTATTATTGTTGTTTAATGATTCTTAATTTATTATTTTATGTGTCTTGGTACTTGCTTGCAAGTGTGTCTGTGTGAGGGTTTTGGATCCCCTGGAACTGGAGTTACAGACAATTGTGAGCTACCATGTGTGCTGGGAATTGAAACTGGATCCTCTGGAAGAGCAGCCAGTGCTTTTGACCACTGAGTCATCTCTCCAGCTCCATATATCTGCAAGTTTAAAACAAGATAGTTAGGTTTAGTACATATAATTAATGACTAAGGAAACATTCATATTGTCATACTTAAAAATAATGAAGTAGGGATAGCTTTGTAAGGTTCCATGCTTTCTGGACAAGCGTGTCTGCTGCTTTGTTCAGTTTCTGCCCAGTTCTGACTAAGGTTCTGGCTATTTTATTAAAGTCTGTGCTTCTATCTTTACATATTGCCCAAATTAACTAGACACTAAATTTGCTTTTGATATTGGTTTATTAATCATATCAGATCTATAGTTTAAGAAAGGGGAAGCTTCATTAGGTTCATTGATAGTAATGAAGAATTTGCTTTTTAGCTAAATCCAATTTTGTTTTTGTTTTTGGTTTTTCGAGACAGGGTTTCTCTGTATTGTTCTGGATGCTGTCCTGGAACTCGTTCTGTAGACCAGGTTAGTCTCAAGCTCATAGAGATCCACCTGCCTCTGCTTCCCAAGTGTTGGGCTTAAAGGCATGTGCCACCAACACCCATCAAAATTTTAAATGCTTTTAAAGTAATCTTATAAACTCAGAATAGTAAAGGAGGATTATCAATCTGAGAAATATTTGAAGAAACAAATTAAATTATTGTCAAATGTGTGTTATTGTAGAGACTAGTGTATAATACCTGGCTTTTGTAATTTCAGTTTAGGAGACATATAGTCACATTAACTGCAATGAATATTTTTCATTATGCTTCGGTTAATAAAATGATAATTAAAAGTAGGTGAAGGAGATCTGAATTGATTACTATGGTTTATTAATTGTGTTCTTTTCTGAGCCCCAAGCGCAATCATATGATATTAAACACATTGCAACTGCTACCTCTTTCTTCTCATATTATGAAGTAGAACAGGGCAAATTAAGAGTAATAATATTTCCTCCTCAACAGGTAGTTGTTTTAAATAAGTACTGTTACTTGTGATGTCACATGTGATGTGTCAAAAGGCTGGGCTCAGCAACTACACTGCTGGAGGACTTGCCCTGGCTTTTTGGGAGTGAGTGCATCCGGTTTTGCTGACTCTCTGAAGAAAACTTCTAATTCTTCATGACTTCTGTCATTACAGTTGGTTTGCTTTGTATAAGAATTGAAGACTAGCAATAATTCTGAAAAAATGTCTTGTTTTCCATCCTGGATTAATCATTCTTCAGCAAAATCAAGGCCTTATACTATCTTTTCAACTTGATTTTTGTTTGTTTGGGTTTTTTTGTTTGTTTGTTTTTGGTTTTTTTTCGACAAAGGCTTTCTCTGTGTAACATCCTGGCTATCCTGGAACTTACTCTGTAGACCAGGGTGGCCTTGAACTCATAGGTAACTACCTGCCTTTTCTTCCTGGGTGTTGGAATTAAAGGCATGCACCAACATGCCTGGCTGCAACTGACTTTTACTAGTGATTTAGCAGCTTAAAAAGACTCAGAAATTCAGAAGAGTCCCTAGATAAATGACCTTCAACCATTGCAGTTTAAATTGTCATCCCTTATTTACTCATTGTTTATTTGTTGATAAGTTTATTCATGCCTGGCTTGCTTGAGAAAGATTTTTGGACATTTAAATGAGGCAAAACTTTCCATGATAATGTCAGCTAAGGATGCAGCTGAAACACTGACAAGCATATTCAGGCAAACCTTGGGAATCTTTTAGTATGCCATGTGTTTCTGCAAACTGATTTCAGAGTGATACCATCTTATAAATTCATCTGCTGACAAAAATGTGCTGACAGTTACACACATGGTTCACTGCACTTGGATAACCCACACATTGTAAAGCAGTTTGTAATGGTTTCCTTAATGACACAGATAACTTACAATTGCCAAAACAATGACCTCCTAAACTTAGACGAATCGGAAAGAATGTACAGATTCAATTCAGAAAGCTATACTAAATTCTGTTGTGTTTCCACATAAGACTGTTCCCATGCAAAGAGACCTTCTTGAATGAGTCCCAATTGCACTTGCTTCCAAACCACCCCACTGGCAGGCACAGTTTGAGGCTTTTCTTGCCATCGTTCAAAAGTTTCACATGCCAAATGGTGTTTTTAGGATCGTTGTACAACTTGAATATTTGGAATATACATGCTATGTGAAGTTGTATGAAATCTACATTTTTACTTTCCTCTTTTAAAGAAAAAAACTATTAAGATTTTCATTTAAAAGTACCCCTTTTCAAAGAGAAAATTAAGTATATTTTTCCTGAGTACTGGAATTTTCAATTTCCATTGTAATTAGATACACTGTTTTACAATGTTCAGGTTTTAGGAAAGAACGTGTTCAAAGTTTTTATGAGATTAGCTTTGAATTTATACCTAATTTCCTATATGTGTGTATGTACAGATTATTTTTCTTTAAGTTCATATTTTCACTTAATCTTATTACTGGAGTAAATACTATATGACCAGCTAGACAGTAATACCATTTCTCTGTAGTGTGACTCTCACCACTGAGCCCTGGAGGTGACAGTGAGCCGATGTGAACTCTGGTGTCAGCACTGGGAGTGGATCATGCTGTTGTCTTTACAGAACCTGCCTCTGCCAGATGATTCCTTCAACTCTTCACACCTCATGCTGATTTCATTGTAGAACTTGGTCACTTAGACATTGTATCTTCGTAATTTTCTTCTTACTTTGCTTTGAGAAGTTTTTTTGTTTGTAATAAGTTACAACTAATGTATTTTAGTTGAAAAATTCTTCTCTCATACAGTATATCCCAACAGCAGTTTCCCTCCCTCCAATCCTCCAATCCCCCTACCTCCTCTCTCTCCCAGATCCACTCCTCTGTTTCCCTTCAGAAAAGAGCAGACCTCCCACAATATTAACTGCATATGGCATAACCAGTTACAGTAAGACTAAGCATAAACCCTCATGTCAGGGCTAGACAAGGCAGCCTTTTAGGAGGTCCCAAGAGCAGGCAAAGGAATGGGAGATACCTCCATTTGTGGTGATATTTATGATTTATTAAAGCTTGCCTGAGAATTCAGAAAGCAAAGCCATCCTCAAGCTATAGAGATCAGGCAGTGGTGATACACAGCTTTAATCCCAGGACTCAGTATTAAGAGGTAGACATATCTTTAGTTCAAGGACTTACTGACTACAGGAAATTGATTTGGTCCTAAAAGAAACAGCTCACCCAAAGGTAATCTCAGCACTTGGGATCACCGATTTTTAATCCTAGCACTAAGCAGACAGAGACAGGAGGATATGGCTGGGTGGAGAAAGGAATATAAGGAGGAGGAGACAGGAATTCAGTCTTTTGTCTCTGAGGATTTGTGGAGACAGGATTGCCATTTCAGTTTGGTAGGGGTGAAATCTACTGGCTTTCCTGCTTTGCTTCTCTAGTCTTCAGCTTGAAACTTGAACCCCAGTATCTATCTCTGGGTCTTTTACTTATTGTTTCACACTAATTCCCACTCTTAGAAAGCCCACAATAATACCAAGCTACACAACCATAACATATATGTGAGGATTTGTGATTGCTGCTGCTATCTCTGTGAGTCCATATGAACCCTACTCAGTTGATATTGTGGGCTGTGTTCTCATGGTGATCTCAACCCCTCTTGCTCCTATATTCCTTCCTCCCACTCTTCTGTGGGGTTCCCCAGGCTCCACCTAATGTTTGGCTGTGGATCTTTGCATCTGCTCTCATCAATTCCTAGATGACATCTCTGATGACAATTGGGCTAGGCGCCAATCTGTGAGTATAGCTGAATATTGTTCAGAATCATTTCATTGACCTTTTTTTTACCAGTGTTATTTGATTCTATTCTAGGATTCTGGGCCATCTACCCTGCAGTTCCATCATTGGTTGGCCACTCTCACAAGTTGTGTATCACCGTTACTCCAGCACATCTTGCAGGCAGGACATATTGTAGTTGAATGGTTTTGTGGCTGGGTTGGTGTGTCTAGTAGTGTCTCCACTACTAGAGCCTTTCCTGCTTATAGAGATGCTTGGTTCAGATTCCATATCCTCAATTATTAGGAGTCCTTTCTAGGGTCACTCTCATAGATTTCTGGGAGTTTCCACTGTGCTAGGTTTCACATCAACTCCCAAATGCCCTCCAATTCCAGTCATTTTTCACCTTACCTTTTCTCTCCACCATACTCCTTACCG